AGCAGTGGTGAAAGCACAACCTTAGCAGCTAATGGGGAACACATTCTATTCTCAAATCAGTTGCAGAAATTTTAAAATTGAAGGCAAAAATTTCTTTCTTAGATGACTACAGGATACAACAGTTCCCTTACAGTTACTGAACAGAAGTGAATTTTATTTGAATGGAGGAAGGTCAGGACAGATCCCTTCTGTAAGGTACACATGGTCAGAACAGCTCCGCATCATTGCCACAGGGAACAGTCTGCAGGTAGACTCAGTTACAAAGATTACTGCAATCGGGGTATCATCACATTTGGCAGGACAACATTCCAGTTACCAGACACCTCTGATGCCTACACATGAGTCAGATGGTACAATCTGACTTTAAGAGAAAGCAACAGAGACAAACAGTAATTTATCACAGGGAAAGGCTGCACCAACTAAATCTGGTGATGTTTCTTCCACCTGGGGAAAAAATATCAAGGATTGGCATAAGGATTCCTAGTATGTCACAAAAGCTGAGGTTCACTGAGAGGAAAATACAAAAAATAATCACTGTCCTAACGCACAAACAACAACTAAGAATAGGTTTGGGGTAAAGAAGTGATCCAGCTGTGAAAGGAGTATACCACTGGGCTCACTGCAAGTGTGTCATGGGGGGTGAGAGAGAGAGAGTGGTAAGTGGCCAATGTCACTTCCATGGCTCTGCATGATGAAACATTTCAATGCCCCCTGAGGACTTTTTCTGAATTCCCCACCGAAATTCAGAGGTACCTAGAGAATCACCCACACAAGTGAATACATATTGCAAAAGATTGCATCATTCCATCACCTCGTTCTGCTCTGCAAGGGAATGTAATAATCAGAGCTCAAAGGAATAGCCTGGACCAACCCCAGCAGATCTGGTACCCGCTTTACATTATGGTTTGTACCATCCAGTCCCCAGGCAAGATTTTCTATTATCAACGAGTGCAGCTTGGTCAGATCTATACGTGACCAAAAATCATGGTCAAATCAAGAAGAGAAATTGCAGAAATTGATTTTTTACTTGACGATGCGTAGCTAGATCTGCTTACTGAACTACGAGCAGAGTCAACCAAGTGAAGATATTATAGATACTCATTATATAAATATATTTTCTCGAGCAATACTTGTAGCAAAAGGCGATTCTAATTGAGCCAAACAATTGCACACTTGTCAAATTCTAGGTGGAGGTATGCGAAAAAAGGACCAACAACTTCTAGATCGCTGGCCATTTCTGGGTGCGCCCTCATTTCAGCATTTGCCTGAAACATACTCGAGGAAGATGTCAGCTCTCAAATGATATGCATGCAGGTGAAAGTGGAGTCATTCAATTAGTAATCACTGTGCAATTAGGCTCTGTATCAAAATAGAAATTACTTTTCTAAAAATAGCAGTGATGACATATTAGCTCAAAAGGAACAGACTTTTTAAGAGGAAGATGAACAAAATAACAGCTCTGAAGGCCAACATGAAACTGAAGGGCAAAGCAAAGTAATCTAATAGAAAACCAAAATCCATAAAATCAAAGCCCTGAATGCTTAACAGTCTCAGATAGCACAGATGGGGTTTGTAATCTCAGTGGTTAGAACGTTTTTAATAGCATTTGCTGAGATAATTCTGTTATTTTGTTGTGCGAGGAACTGGGAAACCAGTGTGGTGTTTCAGATGTCACTGGTGGTACGTTTAGATAAAGGCCGGTGTTTTTATGCAATTTAATGGAGAAAAGGAAAGGAAAAACAGTAACTTGAACAAGCTGGAGTTGAGAATACTCTTTTATCTATCAGTTTATCATCAGTGAAGAAATTCTGTCACTATGGCAAATAGTCATCACTGGAAACGAGAATGACCTTGGCAGATACCAAGTTCTTTAAAGAGGAAGTTATGGAGCAACCTGAGTAGCTTCACTCGCGTTAAATCACTATCAACAAACGGCATTTAGCAGGGGCCTAGAAAAAATAAAGTGTGAAATAACAGAGATTCCAAGGAAAGGATGCAATATACCCTCAATACCAACAACCGGTCCTAAAAGATTGAAAAGGGATAACACGGCATCTATTTTTAAAAATGGAATTGAGAGAAAATGTAAGAAAGAGAAACTGAGCATTTCAGACATAATGTCTCACTTTTTAATTCGATTTTACCTTTAAATTGTATTTTTGTTCATTTCTGACTTTCTCAATTAAGGTTTTTCCTGATATGATTTTTTCCTCTCCACCTTTTCATCAATTATATATTTCCTGACAAAAAAAAATAGTATTTGAGTGTTCAAGCATATTCTGTTCAGTCATTCTCTTCTTTTTCTGTATAACTTCATATTTTTCTTTTTTGACCAGCTGTAGTTAGATACGCTTGAATCTTTCTTGATCATAAATCACATGCCTATTCTTTATTAATTTTGAAGTTTCTGGTTTTCTTCTCGTTTTTTGGGTTTTTTTTTTTCTAACTTACTTATTTTCTATGGCATATGTGATTCGTCAGCACGTCAATGCAATCTTGAGCAGAACGGCAGCATTTGTTACCCTCATTCCATTCATAGGGCATAAAGAAATCAATTTTTATTTAATCTGCCAGGAGAAGCCTCTAGGAAATCAGAGTTAGAACCAAATTCTTGGAAGTCTGCTCAGATGCCTGACTAAAAAAAAAAATCCATCCTTTCCACCCATCATACAGGCAACATATGTTCATTCATACTCAAATTACTAGCTACGTGGGAACATGTGCGTGAACGCTCACACGCAAATACTATTCAAAGTGCCGAACACCATCAATAAATATTACCCAAGTGCATTCCACATTTACCAAAAAGCAGGTAGATCTATGTCACGGCCTTTCTGTCCAAGCGCAATCGTTGACTGTTGTGCTCATGACAGGGCTTTTGACCAGGAAACAGGGTGGCCCCTACGAAGGGACCCCTTCCACTGGAAATGCCCCCTCAGCAGCAGCAGCAAGAGCCACTGAACATCCCCTGCCTGAAGCAGCTTTATCCATCTCTTCTGGAAAAGCACAGCAGTCCAGAAAGAGACAACGCATAGACACACCCCCCCCGCCCCTAGCTGGATCACACTGCATTAAGGACTCACCCTCCTATTCAAGTCAACAGGACTTGTTTAATTAAGACAATACGGCACAAATCCAGGATATGTATATTAAAGGAGTTTGAATTCATCCTGTCTGGAGGCAAACAGTAAGCAGGACTGGGGAAAAAAAAAGTCCTCCATCAGATTAATTCAATTAATTCAAGTAGGAAATGCCTGTAAAATAGGTCTGTGTACATCACACAGAACATCCAGTGCTAACAATAAATGTGTCCAAAACTAGAATACTGTCTAAAATAACACCTCTGAAAACAGTTTCCAAATCTGGAAGGATTATTCTTTTATTACTATGTAGAAAACTTCATTTAGTTGTCCAGCATAAAAAAAAAAAAAGCCTTTATGAAGGCTATTTGAGGGATAATGCTTCACAAAAGTATCAGTATTACAATTCTTTTTCTTACCATGCTTGGAACCCTAACATTAGAGACATTACTTTATCTTCTTACACACATGAAAAGGCTGATAAATGTATGAACAAATCATCCAGTTCAGTCATTACGAAAGGAGTTTGCTAATTTTTTAAGCAATGGAATTGCAACATTTCTCATTGTTAATGGAAATAGAGCATGGGGAGTAATTGACCATCAGCTGTCCTGAGAGAGCTCTTTAGCAGTCACTTTGGGGCAAAAAGCATAATAAAGAAAAATATTTTTAAAATCTTGGAGTCGGGAAGCTTAAAGGTCTCTTTAATTTCTCTCTCATCTTAAAAATTAATGAAAGTACAGACAAACCTATTCATTTTATAAACCTATTAATTTTATAAACCTACTCGTTCATCTCCTGCTCTCTACTTACTTTACACTGTCCAGCACAAATTTGTAACAGCAAACAGCAAAAAAAAACCCTCCAGGTCCCAGTTTCCCAGGTCTGGACAAGCAAGATGTGGAGCTAGCCAGATGTAGGATGGACTCTGACAAACCAAAACCTTTTACAAACTTTGTGTTCCTAATGATCGGGGAATGAGCTACAGAAGAGGACTGAGAAAAGCGTCTCACACAGGCCCAGCTACGCTTCCTGAAACTCTCTTCAACCTAGGTAGATCCTAGCTGCACTGTTAAATCAGATCAGTTGCTTCTTGTTCTGCTCACCTATCCCAGCAAGATTAAGCTAAGGGCCATTATCTTGCCCATAGACAGTAAGTGCTAGGATAATATAATTTGAAATTAATCTACCCCTGAAGCGTGACTTGTTTTTCTCATCATCTTAGCTTACACCATTACTGCAAAAATGGTATTTGTGGTCACTGAATGACACACTAGGACTCAATTTGAGCACTGTTAGCTCAGTGATTTACTTTCAGAATATCACAAGCTGACTGCTTGCGATGCTTTAGAAAGATGCTGTTTCTTTACCATGTATAGTCCCCATCTATGCCATCTGTTTGGTTCTTCATAGCTACAGACAGTCACCATAGTGAAGGTGGCATTTACAAACATTAATCAAATTACTTATTTAATAAATTGTTCCTAATCCTAAACACATAAAGAATGAGTTCAGAAACGCGGAGTAAGTTATCTGCAAATTTTCAGCCAACAAATAACTATGAAAGCAACTGTACAAATCAAGTCTAAGAAATTATCGTCTTTGTTACTGCTCACCAAACACAACTCATACATATGATGTCATATTTCTACATTCTGAAAAATTTCTGAAACAATTTATTGAAGCACACTAGGAATTCATGAAAGATTTCAATCAACAACAACGCAAGGTCCTGTATCACACAATGACTTCAATTTTTTATTTCCTTTTATTCTACTTACCAGTGAATGCCGTGCAAACCTCACTTTGATTGATTTGCAAGGCTTGGACATTTGGAACTTGAAACCTAACATCTCAGATACATCTTATAAAATCTCACCAAGTAACTTTTAGGAGAGAGAAGGGAAAATAGCATCATACCTGAGATTGTGCATTGATATTGGCTCCTTCCTTAACCAGAACTTTGACAACTTCAGCTTGTCCTGCTAAGGATGCAATGTGCAGGGCTGTATTCCCTTTCTGTTATGGGGGAGGAAAAACGAAAGATATTACCCTTCTTCAGGAATAATTTCAACCAGCAGTCCTTTGTAACATTGATTTTTTGAGTGCAATTTTACCTTACAATTCCATGATGTTCCACAGAAACATTGTGGATCCCCCCAAGACAGGGGATAGCACTGGTAGTTGCAGCCATGGTGATTTCTTGAGTGGTTGTGTAACACTACCATCCTAACATAACTTTTGAGGGAAATTATGGAATTGGATTGGGGCACGGGACAAACTTCTAGGTGAAGTTTAGTACAGGCTAACAGCACACTTCAGTCCGGTGCAGAGAACATGCCCTGTACAAGGTCACTGAAATCTAGAAGTCCTGACAATTCAAGCTGTGAATCACATGTAAAATGAGATTTCCCAAAAGGAATATCTGACTGTTAAGTAACAGAAAACAGCCTTTTTTTCCCTTCTCTAATTGGCATAAAACTAAAATGCATATTTTTGAAAGGTGTTACACCATTAAAGAGATGCACTGCACAATAAAATAATCTCTCACAAAACAGCAGCAGTGTGGTAGACCACTGTTTTTGTAAGACCCTTGTATTTTTTATCAGGCCAATCTCTCATCTTGGGAGCAATATTTAAATGGCTGTATTAAAGAATCAAGGCTCATAAAATCAGAACAAACCCCCAAAGTCCTATCTAGAACCAGGTGGTTCTACCAACAGCTTCACTGAGGGGTGACTTAAAGATGTTTTTGAGGAGGGAACTTCTGTTTTTCCATCAGTGATGAAAATCCCACATTCAACAAGAAGCTCTCCGAGCTGACAACCAAGGGTTAACCTTGATAGAGATCCTGCGCATCAGAAATCATAAAAAATAAGAGAGCACCACAGGGGCATGGTGATGGTAACTAAATGCAAAGGCTGAGCACAGCCAGCCAACCTAGACACTAGGAGTCAAACACTGCATCATTCAAGCCAACAAATCTGGCCCACCACAAGGAATTTACCACCCATAGACAACACACTGACTGAATGGTTTGGAAATACACATGTGCCTGTCTGGGGAAAGGCTGAAGGCAAAACAACTTATCACACAGGTGGTTTTTCCGTTCTGCCCTTGAGTGAAAGGGGTCTGGATATGATACCGTCAATTAACAATTTTCACAGATTTGAAAAAATCTACTATTTTGAGCTATATTCACTCACTCTATAATAGGGGCCTGTCATTGGAAATAACGACAAATCTGGCATTGCCAAAACCTTTTAGTGCTTCTTCCCCTGCAAACAGATTGTACAAATAATCATCTTTCCTGCTTCATTTACTACCGATGAGCTTTAGCAAAGAACATAGACTCACAGGCTATAATAGAAATAACATTTTAAATATCGGTGAGGTATTTATGTTATTATTTTGTACTTACTTTTTTTTTTTTCTATTAATTTCTCCCATGTAGTTGACTACTTCTTTTTGTGAATAAATTTACAGACATGCGAGAATTACCTTAGTGGCAGAATCCACAGCCGACCCTCTTTCCAATAATTCTTGTACCAGTCCCACGTGGCCTTCTTTAGCCGCCAGGTGCAGAGCATTGAGTCCATTCTGTAAGCACAAGGGCCGTATCAATTACAAATATCAGTTCTGAAGATACACATTCCTGCCTTACCCTGGTGTAAGAAGATTAGTAGCAGGAATACCATTACATCTCTTAGCTGACTGTCTACATAAGTCAGATATTTTGGCCTTGGCTATTTAAGCCAAGGCACAGTGTGACAAACTTCTCCAATAACATTTTTCTCATAGCAACAAAGACATCAAAACAAACCATTGTTTTGCAAGTATCTATAAGAGATTCCTTCCTTTCTGATAGTTTCACATTTCCCCATCCTGCTACCTTGGGTATCTCCATGAAGCCCATTATTTCGAAATTTCAGTATGTATCTGCCTTCTTTGTACTGTAACTTTATCTAGCCCCACTGAGGTACTATCAACAGAGAAACCACAGGACTTAGCCAAATTTACACAGGATGTGTCTATTCCATCAGGATTATTCCAGGCCGACGTAGCTGTCCTGAACCCTGGACTCTCCTCCTCTCCTCTGGAATAACTGGTATCAAACAGAAAACCAAAAGCACACGTAGACCAAAATGGCTGTTGATTACATGTGTCTGGCAAATTATACCGATCCTTGACTTAGTACCTCTGCTGGTTTCTGATGAGCAAGACTTTGCTGAACTCTGAGGTTTTGTAACCTCATTCAAAAAGGGAAAGAAAACTAAGGAAATAAGAGCCAGGATTTTCAAAACAAGAAACCTAAGAAAGATAGCATCTAAATCTTTTCCACATGAAATAGGTATGGGATACTTTCTCTCTTATAAATTCCAGCCATAGAAACTGTATCTTCCTCTTCCTAGTATCCTTTTTCTACCCGGGGGAAAAATACAAAATGACAGTCTATTGTAGCTGAATTGCCAACCTATTTTTCACAATCTTACAGTATTTTTCATGGTACATCAGGCAGGTGACAGCCACAGATACTGCCGTTGCCCTCAAGCATTCTCCCGTTTTCCATATTGCAAGCATCACAAGCAATGCTCAGGTATTTGAGTAACTTGCAGCAAGTTTAGCACAGTGTAATGTTTAGCACTGTGTAATTTTTATCACTTTACTTGTCTCTAAGCAGTTCATAGGCATTTAAATTGCAAAATAAACAAGCAGCTTTCTGGTCTTTTATTTGTTCATCCACAGAGGCAGTTCAAGCTTGTAATTCCCAGTAGGATTTTAAAGCACTTAGCACTTCACAGGAGGCATTTAATGGGAGTGGGTCCAAGGGCTGCAGACACAGCAAGCCAAATGCATTTCTGAACTAACTCCATTTAATTCTACATTCATGTAAACAGCACGGGCAGATTTTGTGGTCAAATTCAGAAATGCAACTATGAGAAAAGCAAAGGAACTGAAGGAAGGCTACATTCACAAGCTGCCAAAAGAAGAACACCCTTATGCAGCCTAGTAGTTTGGAAATGTTAAGGAGAAATGTGGTTTCAAATCCCATTATATTGGCAAAGCAGCAGCAACCAGATCTTCCTTATGCCAGAGGAACACTCTTCCTGGTGAGCTGCAGAGCCCAGCGGTGGCAGCAGTGCCATGCCCTGGATCAACTCTTAGCCAAAATTATGCAGTGAGGTTGACCATAATCGTAAGGATAAGGAACGCTGCACATGTCAGCGAATTTTTTTGCAGGCTGAAAACATTTCAGAAAGCTCTAATCTTCCTTGGGTTTTAATCTCAGCTGAGTATTAAATAATCATAATTACTACCTACAGTGGTTGAAAGCTTTGAATTAGTATTTTGTGGGGAAACACACAGTGTTCTTCTCTTTGTTGGAGAACAAAGACCTGTTCTCATACCTAATCTCACAGGTTCAATCATCAACACTTGACAGGAGGGTATGAACAGGAACTTTGACTCCTTACAGTTGTACACAGCTGATGGATTGCTATGACATTATTAACCTTTTTCACTCTTTGGGAGCAGACTGAAGTCCACAACCGGCAGAGAAACTGCAAGATTGCATGGCTCGCATGAATTACACGCACACAAGTGCCTCTGAAGGATAAAAGTTGAGGGCAAGCTTCTTTTTTAGCTTACCATGTGCCAAAGTATGGAGAAAGCAAAGCTTGTCCCAGTGCTTAATCAGTAGCAATCTCTTAAAATGCCTGCATTTGTACCTCTGAGACACATTTCTAATGATACCACATTAAGCAGCTGAAAGCTAATAGTGTTGCAATTGTTACGCGAGTTTCTTTGCAACATATGACTTCTTTCTGTTCATTAAAACAAGGAAAATGAATACATGAGGTCCAGTGAAAGGGTTACAGAAAGAAACTATAGCCTAAATACAGTTCCTACTGCACACATTTGAATTCTGTAACTCCTTAAATAAAGTAAGCTGGGGCAAGCAGTAGCAGAAGCAAGCACTGCACATTAAACGTTGAGGGTCAGCACAACCGAAGCCTTAAAGCAAGCTTTGTTCCTCCGTAATCAGAACCAACGCTGTAATTATTTCCCAACCCACATGGCTGATCCCTGCTAGTTATGATGACAGAAGCTCAGATTTAATCAACGCAACTCCTCCGTTCCTGTCAACTGGATTCTTGTATTTTAGAACAACAAAGGTTTCTGACACTTCCCTTTTTCTCTCCCATGCCTACCAAAAAGGGAAAAGGGGGAAGTAGGCGCAATGAAATTAGTTGTCTGCTAAGCAAAACTGTACAGCATAGGGACTGAGGGACTCTCCCTTCCCTCAAAGCATATGTATACCATAACTGCCTTTCTTTTAGAGGCTCATTTGTAATTCTAACTCTCATAAAAGAACATAACACTATGCCTTCCAAGTTTGGTTCTTCAAGTGTTTCCCTGCAGAGCCCGACTCCCTCAGCTCTTTTTCTCCTCTAGCACTGAGCTAGAGCCATCAACATTTTGTATCCCGTAGAGCGCTACAAAGGCACACACAAACCACTGCTGCTCACGGCACTTACTATAACGTCACCCTGTGTATTTCCAACACACCAGAAAAGCCCACAGATTTCTTGTACATCACAGAAATCACCAACCTTTTCTAAGCCAACCGAAAGTCAGTCACTTCCTCCTGTAAGACAAGCACCAAGTCTCACTGCTATTGTCTGAAAATCACCCAAGGAAGTCCATGCTGCTTCTGCCTTTGTATTCAGTTGCCTGATAGAGCGGTCCTCATGGAATGGAAGTTCTTCAGTCGCTGCCTGGTTCAGCGTCAATCCTCCAGTGCCATTTAGTCCTTCTGGGACACCACCCAGATGGCCGCTATGCCCAGCAGCAGTAACAGCTTACACTATTCCTGCCTAACCCCAGTAAGCCAAAGCAAACTGACCCCACAGAAAGGCAACTTCTTGGCAGAGCATCAGATCCAAGAACATTTTAAACCAGCAAAGTCATCATCGCTATCAGAAGTGCTTCTGCTTCTCCCATCCTCTCCTCTGCTCATTTCTATCCCCAGCCACCTCTCTGCAGATCAGGTCCCTCAATCGTTCGGTGCGAGGCTGCACACACGCTTCTGCCAGCGCAGGAGAGAGTACGGCACGGAAGCACGACAACCAAGGCAGGGCAAGGCCGGCATCGCTTCTTCTGTAGAGGTATTGACTTAGTAAAAAGACAAAACACAGCCCCAGCAGTTGTCTAGCACTACTGCAGCTTCAGTGACAAACTGCATAGCAAAGCTGCAATACGGACACGGTGCGATCCCTCTCCCCTCTAAGCTCAGCTGTGACAGCTATAGATGATAACCCAGTAGCCCTAGAAAGCTTCGCTCACCTTCTGCTGATAAGACTTGGAGAGAAGCATAAGGAACATAAAAATGTAGAGACGGGGGGAAAAAAGTGTTTGAAGTTAGTGGGGATAAATTCCTTACACATGTGAACGTTTGCTTGTGTTACTTCACTATATAATGGTCTTGGCACTAAAGAAAAGAACCTTTGTTAAATATCAGGATTCCTACTTCCCTGAAGTTTACTTCCATTTGAAGGTATTCATCAAGTACTCAATATCTTTAAGAACATTAGGAAGGAACAATGTATATTCACAAAATTAATCCCCTTCTTTCCTTTACGCTAAGAGTCTGACCCCTTATAATTCCCATCGACACTGATGGAAGCTGGGATGCAACACTTTCCAGGAAGATTTGCCAGCATCTGAGTTTCTAATTACCCTTGCCTTTGCCACATCAGGTTAGAATGGCATTTGAGCAACTTACAGAAAAATCATCACAGAAGCCAACGAAAATAAAACAATACAAAAATCTATTTTTGTAACGTTTCAACATTCTCTTGAAGCACAAAATGCAATGCACTTCTACCAGGTTCCTTCCACTGGCTCTGTGTTCACAGGCTTATATATATATATATCACGCACACACTCACAGACCAATAGCAAAGTGTAAGTTACAAACACAATGAAAATTAAAAAGCTGTTGTGACAAACTCTGTGTGGTCATGCTAACTCCTTTACATGTTTTGCCAGAGTTAAGAAGGCATCTGCACCCTCCAGTAAAGACTAAGACTAAAAAGCAGTATCATAGTCTTCATTAAAGTCAAATACTTTGTCCCTTTAACAGATGTCACTCTAAGGTTGCTGCAAATTCCCGCCTCTGAATAAATCTCCCAGAAAAGTAAAGAGTGCATGTGGTCAGCCTCTTTTCAAGAACGATTTGGGAAAGGGCACATTAGAGAGCTGAGCATGACCTTCTCAAGTCTGAAGGTTTGTTGAAGTCTTTCCCAAAAATAGCACAAAGCAGTAAAGTGGACGGTTGGAAAAAAGAAAAATAATTTCAGATTATGAAAATTCTCCTTTTATGTTGCTTTATAGCCTATGGAGTAATGAAAATGAATTAACCTACTGAGCGACATCAGCATGTGATACTGTCAAGCCCATTATGACTACAGTGCTACTTCAGTCTATAGTTAGCGCTACTGGGAATGTTAGCTGCTTTCCATTTGGACTATAGCAGGAAGTAATTAGTAGCTGGTGCTCTGTCTCACTGGAACTGAAGCAAGAAAGACATCCATCAA